TAAATAAATATTATTTCAGTGCATATCGAGGAAGATGCAGAAAATCATGATATAAATAAATATAAATAAATTACTAAAATAAAAAAGTAAATAAAAATTGTAAAATGTAAAAACGAATACATAAAAAATAAATATTATTTCAAAACCTATCAAGGGAGTCACAGAAAATGATGATACATCTACCAGGTAAAGAAAATAAATATATATAAAATATATAAATGAAAATTGTCAAATATAAAGAAATATTATTTCAAAGAAATGTGCAGAAAATGATCAATTTACAAAGCAGAGCTAAAATAATAAGTACAAATAAATTAATCAAATAAAAAATAGTAAATAGTACAATTACATTAGAAATAAATATGATTTTAAAGCATATTAAGGGAGGCACAGAAAATTATGATAAACTTACCAAGTTAAAAAAATAAGTAAATAAGTAAAAAACAAACATGAATAAGTTCTTAAAGTAAAAAAATGAAAATTACCCTAAATTATTTTTATTGTTATTTTAATCAACCCTAGTAAATATTTCCAATTAAAAAATAGGCTGCTATTTCTGTATTTAGTTGATTTATTTCTGTTTCATAAAGGTTTACTGTTTTTTTGTTTGTTTGTTTTTCAAAATGTGCCAAAATGTCTTTTTGTTAATTTTGTGCAGGTCGAGCGAGCGGTTAGCGGAGGCCAACACTAAGCTTCTGAGCGAGAGGCAGCGCAGTAAATCTCTGCTCACCAGCAGTATAGTGAACGGCGGTTTAGGAGGCCCCGCTCTGGATGTGGGGGCGTACGGAGCCTCTCTAGGACCCCTGAGCAGGAGTCTGGGCCTCGGGACGCCTCTGCTGGGTACGGTAGGGGAATCCCAGAGCAGCCGCGTAGAGGCCTACCTGGCAAAGGTGAGCGATGCCGCATGCAGTCTTTGACTCTCATTTAGATTGTGAACAGGTTTCAAATCCTACACCACACTGACTCAACATTCAACTCTAACCATGAGCTAATACTTACTGTTAGCTTTAGAAGAGCCACCCAAAATAAATCCCATGCCAGGTGGTGATTCTAAGACTAACAAACAATGATATATCTTCTCCTTCCACTATCTTTCCCTTCATAAACGTAGTAAATAACCTCCTGGTCTGTTTTTCCTGTGGCTGCTGTCTGGACTCATGACCTCTTCTGTCTCTGATATCTTCAGCTTCTAGCTCAAAAGTCTGTTTCTCACCTGTCCTCTCTGCAGCCTGATACCTGAGCAGGTGTGTAGCTGATGTGTGCAGACCTCTGACTGTCAGAACACACACACACACACACACACCTGCTTTAATGTGTCTCTGCGGCTTCACACAGCTGTTTATGGGAGAAAACGTTGAGTCAGAAATCATGCTGGATTTTTAGTAAGATTTTAATTAGATCAGAGTTTGAAGACTTACCTGTGCCATTACAGCTTTTAGTACACCGAGTCGTTTCTGAAAAAAGTCATTATCTTTCTTCAGAATTAGTTATTTGTGTATTATTCATTCGTATTTATTTATATTTGAATTAGCTTTTGTTTTTATATTTTCTGTTTTCATTTCAATTTTAGTTTGAATTTTGTAATTTTGTTACGTGCTTTTGTCATTTTTATTTATTTTTTTATTTTCAATTTGTTTATTCTTATTTTTTCAGGTTTTGTTTTAATGATTGCATATGCAGTAAATTTTAATAGTTATAATAGTTTAGTATATTTTTTAGTTTTAATGAAGTTTTATAGATAATAAATCATTTTACATTTTAATTATTTTGTGTAAAAATTTTAACTTTTGGGAGTTGGATCAGAGAGTTCATTCATCACACTGGAAATGGAAGGTAAAGTCAAGCGCATTGCATTGTGGGATGCTCTGGTTGTTTACTGCACATTTTGACAAATGTAGTAGCTTATTTAGGTATTTAAATGATACAGAAAATCGACATACTGCAGAGTAAATATACTACAGAAGTAGCATGAGTATCTATTATGTCTATATTTAATATTTATATTTAAACAAGATCTATGATTTATGAACAAATATGTGATGTAACGTGCTTAGCTGTACTGGTCAAAGTTTGAACCCCTTTATTTGATCCTTTTTGAGGTAATTTTTCATACTAAAATGAATGTGTAAATGATTCAGATGATTTTTTTTTTTTGCCCCAGTCTTAATTTGATATTATACTAATGAAATCATAAAATGAAATCATATCACTAGCTAGGGTTACATTATGGCCGAGTTTGTTCAGGCAAAAAAAAAATCAGGTCATGTGACATTACATACTGGAGTAATGATGCTGGAAATTCAGCTTTGATCACAGGCATAAATTACATTTTAAAATGTATTCAAATAAAAAACAGCTATTTTAAATTGTAATAATATTTTACGATTTCTCTGGTTTTACTGTATTTTAAATCAAATAAATGCTGCCTTAAAACCCAACATTTTTTAATGGTAATGGATGCTTTTACTAGCATTTGGATTTTGACCAATCAGATGTGTCAAAACCATGGTGCATCTGCATAGTCATGGTTATACATTTTTATAGTATGAACGCTGTGACAACTTTAAAAAAAGAGCTGGCTGAGTGCTAGTTTTAGGACATGCGTGTTTGATGAGATCAGATGTGTCAGATGTGTAATCTGATTGGTCTGTTCCTGTTGCAGATGCAGACGGAGCTGGAGAAGCACATATCGAAGGAGCTGGACTATGGTGAGACATTATTACAACAAAATGTTTACATGTATTTTATGTAAATAGTCCTTTTTACTGTTATGAGGATCACATTCGTTTAGATTACAAGCTATCATAATCTATCATAATTTATATATTTAATTTATATTAGAATTTAAATATGTAGTATAAACGACATATTCTCCTATATCACACTATATGAGCCATAAAATACAAACAAAATGCATGCAAAAGTTTTTTTTTGTCTGAAGGTTTAATTAACTGTTCAGTTAAAAAAAGATACATTTTTCAGACTTTACTTTAAAATGTCAGACTTTACAGGGTTATTATGATCCTTAAGTTAGAATTACATGATGACTGGTTGGATCTCCACTCAAGTCCAAGCAAAAATGTGTTCTGTATTAATGTGAATGGCCTCAAAAGTGACTTTTTTGTGATTTTCTTTCTCATGTCATTCTCTCAGTAACAGGAGAGCTGGAAGGAGGAAGTGCCCGCATGTCTCCCGTAGGATCGGCCTCTGGCTCTCAGAATCTGAACGTAAGTCTGGAGCCGCCAGACCCCGTGAGCAGAGCCACTCAACAGTACCTGGAGGTGCTGAAGAAGAACTACAGGATCTGAGCCGCGGTCAGTCCACACACTGTGAGCACAATCAACTCCAGCGCCTTATCGCTGACCCACAAACCCACTCGACCACCCTAAAAAACCTAGAGTTTGAGAAAACACGAGTTTGTTTACTAAAGCTGGTGTTTTAAAAGCAGTTATGCTGCCTCCTTATGGTCACTGAAGAAATAGTTCACCCAAAAATGAAAATTTGCTGGCCAACTAAAAATGAGTTTGTTTCTTAATGGGACTTAAAGTTGAGTACATTTTAAGCAAATTTTCATTTTGGATGAACTATTCCTTTTAATACTCAAAGTCTATCTGAACATGTTCTTCAGAGTCTGTTTAACGAAAGGCTCATTATCAAAGTAGAATATATTCATACTTGTAAAATCCCGGGCACCGGACTGATTCCTGCTGGTCAGGAACCAACGTCGCCATTTTTTCTGAGTCAAAATGAGTGAAAAACTCTGAAACGAGGCTGCCTGTCTGGACTTGTGTATTAGTCCAGACCACCAAAAGGGCCAAAGTTTCAACACTACAATCAGTTTGTGATCTTTAATCGAGTGTGACAATGCACTTTTGTGCCTCAGGAGCAAGTGAACTGTGTGTTTAAGTCATTCTGTCGTTGTTGAAGCCATACAAGCGTCACTGAGGTTTTATGGTACGTGTGAAGTGCAGCTTTCAGTGTTGCATCCCCAAAGTCTTTTGTTTTTATCATATGTGGGGTTTTAGTTGACTATGTATATAGTTTTTGTAGTCGAGGCATATTATAAAGAGTGTTACATTTGTACCGTTAATATTATTGCCAAGTAATGACAATGGTACATTCTGTTATCGTGCAATATATACACAACTTATTTTAATTTCAAATGACCAAACACTCATTTGGAGATGTTTTTTGGGAAATTAATGCTATACTTGAATGAGACAAAACTAGACAATGATCTGGTGATTTTCTAGAGTATGTGACAGTGTCACCGCTTCGCTGTGCTCAGGTTGAATCTTTTCGTGTGTGTGATTGAATCTCACCAGGTCATATTTTAGATGTTGCATAAATTATATTTTGCACAATGTTATTAAAAAAATCTTTTTTTGCATATTTTCTTAACAGTTAAGTACATTTTACCCCCCAAATTCACATTACTGTAATTAAAAATTATTAAAGTATATATATATATATATATATATACACACAAATCAAAACAAAAACTACAATGCATATACAATTTTAATATATATACATAGGTTTATAAAAATATATATAGAAACAAATATATAAATAACATTAAATTTGCTTTATTATTAATTGTACAAAAAATGCTTAAGCTTAATTTGCAAAATGTCAATAAAAAATGTTTTTTTGCATTGTGATATTTTCTTTAAACAGACAATTAAACTGATTTTACCACCAAATTCTCATTGCTGGCATTTAAAAAAAGTTTTTTTTAAATTCAGTATTAGATTCAGATATTAGATTAGACAAATTAAATTCAGTAGAACAGACACTACCATGCAACATGCTATATATCTATATCTAAATATATATATATATATATATACACACATTTTTGGTGTGTTAATGACAATTGGAGCAGAAAATGTGCACAACTGTTAACTGTGCAAAAACTCTTTAAAATAATCTTGGTTTTCATTATGCACAATGATTTTTTTTTTTTTTGTGGTGAAATATGACAGTAGCGTGTTTTTAATAGTTTTCAGCAGATTCATCTGTATGTTTTAGTTTTTGTCAACTGAAATATGTTCAGTCTCTTCCAAGCATTTCAGTATTGTTTTTGTCTCGAGAGGTTTCAGATGTTTAAATTGAGATGTTTAAAAGCTATAAAATGAACATGGGCCTTACTGTTGTGTTTGTTATTGTCTCAGACCAGTCAAAAATGGTGAATCACTTTCATAATGAACACAAAAAGCAACCTTTATTTATCTAATATACAAAATTCAACAGCACAAATAAACACTCAGCTCTATGATGTCCAGCTTTCCTCTGAATCATTCAGTCAGTGATGCGTCTCAGAAGTTCTTCATACTCCAAATCATACAAATGGATGGATATTTGACTAAAGAACATAGTGTGAGGTTCATCTCATCGATCCTCCTCACGAGTCTTCAGCAGAACCTCAGGTCATTCTCCAGTTTGTAGATTTTGGCCCTCAGGTTCTTCAGCTCACTCTGGACCTTTATCGTGCGGCTGTTGGTCTGTCGAACTTCATGGAGAATCGCCAGGTCTTGATCAGGGCCCACATTGAGTGTCAACTAGTGAAAGACACAGCCATCAAAATCTGCATCAATTAATGCTAATATTAATGACTAACAAATAGTTGCCAATTTCATATATATTGATATCAGACAATTTAGCTGATTGTGTGAAGCTGAAAACCTCAAGCTAAGGAGACATATGAAGAGTTCATTTGCAAAAACGATAAACGCCACTTATAAAAAAAAAGAGCTGATTGCCGTGCATTATTCTGCACATATAGCGCGATCTGAACCCTAAACACGTTGTCAAAAAAGCCGGTTTTGTCCACTTTCAAGGCATCGTGAGTTCACGTTTTACTGCAGAAGCCGACAAGCGCCCTTGTTGGTTTTGAACAGAAGCCGATAAATCCATTTTAACGAATTCTTCAGGGCGAAAAAGGAAAATAAAAGCTGAAACGTTTTCACGGAACCTTGCAAAAGCAGCGTGTTACAATGGTGAGGGAAAAGCACTGTGTATTGCGTGTAATCACATCCATACAGTTTATCATCACAACAACAACAACGTGTGTCAGGCATCTACATTGTTATCTGAGGAAATTACAAAGATTAAACAAGTTTTTTTTTTTAACTCTAAAACATGAAATGTGGAGTTATCTGCTTTTGCCAAAAAACGACTGTTGGCGTTATCTGCTTTTGCTATAAAACAAACTTTTAATATGTAAAAAAAAACATACTTTGAATGAACTTTAATTTTGTAAATTACCTGTATTCGTTTAAGTTATTATTACTCAATCAAAACAACCCAACTACTGCAGTTTGATTGATATTACTTGGAATGCGCAATAAAAAAAACGTGATTTCTGAAAATAAAAATGGAGTTATCGGTTTTTGCAAATTAACTCTTCATATATTCTTAAATAGCAGAGATGCATGAGAGAAATGACTGACTTTAAAGAGATATTTCTCCACGTCTTTGACTTTCTGCCGCAGGAGTTTGATATCGGTCTTGAATCCCTCCACCTCCATATATTTTTATATAAAAACTTATTTTATTTCACCTAGTTGCCAAGGCAGCATTTTTCATTTAGTTTAAGTTGAGTGCTCAAATAACTAAAACTAAAAATCAAAACAACCCAACTACTGCAGTTTGATTGATATTACTTGGAATGCGCAATAAAAAAAACGTGATTTCTGAAAATAAAAATGGAGTTATCGGTTTTTGCAAATTAACTCTTCATATATTCTTAAATAGCAGAGATGCATGAGAGAAATGACTGACTTTAAAGAGATATTTCTCCACGTCTTTGACTTTCTGCCGCAGGAGTTTGATATCGGTCTTGAATCCCTCCACCTCCATGGCTCGTCTCTTCTCCAGAGCTTCATAACGTTTAGTCATCAGCTGCAGACGTTTGGCAATCTTATCAGAGCGCTCCTAAAAACACACGTGCAAAAATCAGATGCTAGTTTGACACTAAAGCAACCTCGACATTTCAATAAAATATCAAAATATTTTCATGTCAAAAGCATCTCACCCTGGTGTGCTTCGAAACAGTACTTTTTTTAAATAAACATAGAAGGAGAGATTTAGCATGATGTTTAGGCTGCTCTTGTCTGTATGACTCAAGGACAATCAGCTGAACATCTCGTTTTTTGTGAGCCGCAGAAGTTAATAGTACAGGCATACATGAGGGTGGCTAATCAATCATTTCTTTGCTTTCTTCTGGTGAAGGAGTTTGTTTGCATACTTTGAAGATCTCTCGGCCCACGTCGCCCTCCTCTCTGATCTGGGACAGGTCCGTCTCCAGATTCACACACTGCTCTCGGTACATGTCAGCCAGTTTATGAGCCTGTTTCAGTTCCTCATGCAAAGCCTGCTGGGAAAAAAACAAAAAAACAAAACCACTTGTGAGACCTGGATAAAGTCTTGTTTCAAAAGATGAAGGAGAATGTGATTCCTCCTTATAAAAGAGTTTTCAACTAAAGCATGCTTACCCTGCACAAAAATATTATACATTTTAAAACTATGTAATTTACCTGTACAATTATTATGCATACCTATGCATAAGTTTGTTAATATATTTAATCATTTGCACAAAGACAAATGTGGCTCCTGTACACCAGAGGTTTTCAAAAATACACTGTGTGTATATATATATATATATATATATAAAAATACATTTGAATTATATATATATATATATATGTGTGTGTGTGTGTGTAACCGTACACGTATTCATACCAAATATTTTCGGTACGGGTCGATACGCACGTGTATCGAACAAATCGTTCCGGTATTTTTTCAGGAAATTCAGACAGACAATAAATGCCGTTTTGGCGCTTTTTGATGAGACGAGACAGCTCGCTGTACAGAAGCCTCGGTTCTAACAGCAGCACGGGGCACGATTGAGCGCGATCATCCCTTCATCTTTATTACTAGTTTTAACGCGAAATAAACATGAATGAACATCTCCTGCCTCACGTAATCACTCAATCAGTGCTTCAACCGCAGAAAGATGTCATGAAAACAGCTTGTAAACAAAATGTCACGCAGCATGTTATTTACCTCAGGCAATCAGTGTCTCCAGCTCGTTATTTGCCAGAGAAATGAAGTCTAGTGAAGAGCATTTTGCCAAATATTAGACTGTACTTCATTATATTTACTTTACCTGTAAGTGATGTCTTAAGTATGTAATGTATGTTTAAATAAATATTTTATGAAACAAGTTATGACTTATATTTCAACAACAAATAGAAATTGTATAATTTAGAAGTTAATTTAAAAAATTTACATGTTTGCATACAATTTTTTTAATTTGAGTGTTGATTATTATAGTTAAAAATAAACAGTAATTGAATTTAAGTTTGTGCTCTGTTGTTAATTGTAACCTTATAGTAATGTAAAAGGGCTCTCTATAGTTTAGAGCGGAAGCTGAGGTAGATTTTATCCCTAGAAATTTTTTTTAATTGTAAATGAATTTAAAGAAAAAGCCATTTGTTCAGTAAACCATTCTTTAATTAAAAAAAATGTTTAGTATTTTTTCCTCCTGCTGTACTGAAACCATACCGAACCGTGACGTCAAAACCGAGGTACGTACTGAACCATCATGTTTGTGTACCGTTACACCCCTAATATATATATATATTAAATAATAAAGTCAGCTATATATTTAAAACTCATTTATAATATGTGAGAAAAATAATGTGATATGTTTAAGAATAACAATGCAAATGACAAATAGTTCAATGTACTAAAGCCTAAGATAAAGTATTGTTCTGGAAAATATAAAAAAAATATTTAGAAAATTAAAAAATACATTTGAATATATGCACACACATACAGTATATATATAAGTGCTGGGGAACGATTAATCGTGATAAATTGCATCAAAAATAAAAGTTTTTGTTTATATAATAGGGTTAGTGTGTACTGTGTATATTTATGTACATATAAAGACACACATATACAGTATATATTTAAAAAATATTACATGTATATATTTATATTCATATAGTTCATATCATATATAAATATATTTAATATACAAACATAACATTTTTCTTAAATATATACATGCATGTGTGTGTATTTATATATACATAATAAATAAACACAGTACACACACACACATATATTATGTACAGAAAAACTTTTATTTTGGATGCGATTAAAGGCAGAGTAAGCGATTTCTGGTAGCCAATGTTGATATTTGAAATCACCAAAACAAACACGCCCCTACCCCAAAAGGGTCTTGCCCCTATTTTGATAGCTCCGCCCCACATATACGTACGCAACCCAGGCAACGATTAGTTCTGTGAAAGAAAGCAAAACCAATGTTACACCGTGTCTACGGACGTGAGCGGCGCGGCGCAACAAATCCCCGACAGAAAACTGCTGCGGGGTTCAATTTATGCCGTGCTGACACACATTTCAAATGGTTTTCAACGGTCGTTTTATCGCGTCCAGTGTAGGCAGACTTTAGTTGTTGTAGACACGGTGTTACTCACCTACTGAGAAGAAACATAGCAACCTCGGCGTCCGATCGCAGGCCTCCGCTCCTTGAGTTCTCTCCAGCACTGGAAAGCTGATCCAATATTTTACACGGGTCCTACTTCTTGCCTTGTCGTTCCGCAGACGTTTTCCTCTTTTGTTTTTTTATCCGCCATCTCTATCTTTCTGTCGCTCGGCTCGGCTAATGTCCGTCCCATGCACTGAAAGCTCTCTCCTCCACATCACGAGACGAGTAGACACGCACCTTATTGCTGATTGGTTACAAGTTTGTTTTGCTATTCGGCCCGAATCAGTTTTCTAAAGTGTTTTTGAAAAATCACATACCCTGCCTTTAATCGTTGCCCAGCACTAATATATATACATGCATACAGTATATATAACAATACTTTATCTTAGGCTTTAATATGTTAATGTAAATGGCAAATAGTTATTTCTTTAAAAACATATCACATTATTTTTCTCACATATTATAAATGAGTTTTAAATATATAGCTGACTTTATTATTTAATAAGTGGGTTTATCATCATCATCATATTTGGGAGTCTTTGGCATTAAAAGTTCTGCCTTAAACCAGGCATTTGTGCCATTCCAAAAACCTAAGTTACTTAAATGAAGAAGGAAATGGGAGCTGTCTGACCCGGATCTCCTCCCGGTGAGTGTGGCTGCTCTCGTGTCTGGGCTGTGAGATGAACGGGGCGTCTGCAGACAGAGGCGGAGGCTGCTCGGGGAAACTGCGCTCCTCTCGCAGCCGCTCCTGACAGGAGTCCAGCTCTCGCAGCAGACGGTCCTTCTCCAGCATCCAGCTCTTCTCGTGAGCTCGACTCTCAAACTTCAGCTGCAGGAAGTCCCTGGTGCTCTCGTACAGCAGGTTCTGCGTGCGCTGCAGTCTGAACATGAGGCAGAGTCTCGCTCAAGCCTGGTGCTCGGGGTTTGTTGAATCAGGAGGAGGGATGAACTTACTTGTCGGTGAGGGCCGTGATTGTGTCCTGGTCGCGCTGGTGCTGTACCTGTCTCTCCTCCTGATGAATGCGTCGGTCCTCCAGCAGCGCCTCCACCTGCTCTTTAGCCAGACGCGTCTGCTCCTCCAGCTGAGCCTGCAGCGCCTCCACCTGGACTCATACAACAACAGCAGCCATTCAACACATGCCAAGCTACTTTTTTTAAAATTAGCACATGCTTATTAAATTTAAATGTTTATTCTGCACAAATTTTTTTTCTAAATTAAAGCTAATTATATGTATACCTACACATTATGTACATCTATATTTATAGACAATTTAACAATTAAAACATGTTCGTTCTGCTCAAAAAATATAAATGAAAGCAAATTATATGTACATCTACACATGTACATCTATATTTATATATTTATATAAAATACTATAATTAAAATTATTATATTTTTACATTTAAAATTAAATAATAAAAATATTTATATTTATATTATATAAAAATAATATTTAACATTTTTAATTTAAAACCATTCATAAAAATTGATATTTAAAATATAGAAATAAATATTGCACAAATATACATATAATTTGCTTTCATTTATATGTATATGTACACCTACACATTATGTACATCTATATTTATATAATATTTTTTATAAAATAATAATGAAAATTATTACATATTTTTTTAATTTAAAACTAAATAATAAAATAAAAATATTTATATTATACAAAAATAAAACTTTTCATAAAAATGTATATTTAAAATATAATAATAATAATAAATAATATATATATTTAATTAAAACATGCTTAAAACATTCGTTTAAAAAAAAATTCTCCTTTGTTGTTTAGTAGAAAGTACTCTTCTATCAGTATTGGACCATGGTGATATAATTTATATGCATGCATCTCTGAATGTTTTGAAAAAATTGGATGTAGTTTATCACACTGCTTTACGATTTGTTACTGGTACAAGTGTTCGCAAACATCACTGTAATTTATATGAAATGACAAATTGGACTTAGAAAAAAACATGTTAATTTTTAGTTTAAAAGCTTTAGTGGGTAAATTACCACAGTATATATCTAGTTTGTTGACATACTGCACAAATATTTATAATACCAGATCAACAGATAAACTCTTACTTAAGATGCCGATTTTTCATACAGAGATAGGTCGTTCTGCATTTTCTAATTATGATCCGTATTTATGAAATGAACTTCAAGGTACATTACACATGGAAGCTTTACCAGCTCTCGCTATGTTTAAAAATATTTTAAAGTCTGTTTATATAGAACAGTGTACATGTTTTAATAACTGACTAGGACTTGAATTGTTTTTAGATTTGTTTTTGTGTTTCATGTTTGTTCATTGTGTGCTGATGTGTATTTCTTTGTAAATTTGTCCTTTGCTGCCTATCTTGACCAGGACTCCCTGGTAGAAGAGATACTGTACATCAATGGGACCTTCCTGGTTAAATAAGTAAATAAATAAAAAATGCTTATTTGGCAAAAAATGTATAAATGAAAGCAAATTATATGTATGCCAACATATTATGTGCATCTATATATATATATATTTCTAATACTATAAATTAGTAAACTATAAATTATATAAACTATATACGATAAAACATTTTTATTCAATGTGTATTTGCAAATTAATTTTATGTTGAGCATTAAAATAAATTTAAGAAAGTTAATCCTTAATACATTTATCAATATAAACTAACATTTTTGATGGATCGTGTGACACTGAAGACTGGAGTAATAATGCTGAAAATTCACAGAAATAAATTACATTTTAAAATATATTCAACATAGAAAACAAATATTTTAAATTATAATAATATTTCACAGTATAACTGATTTTAGATCAAATAAATGCAGCCTTGTTGACCATGAGACACACACCTGCAGCAGTAACGTCTGGTTGTCTCTCTTGTACTGCTCTGAAATTGTGGCATCTTCTCCTTCTCTGGACGATTTCTTGCTTCCTGTAGTTTGAAACGCCACAAGCTCTTAAAGTACAGAATCTCAAAATATTATGAATGTATCAATGCACCCATAAAACCACCGCAAATTAGTCACTAGTTACTAAATATGAAACAGAATAAAGGTGAAGGCGGACCTTTCACTGATACAGGCCTCGGTTTCACCACCTTTGATTCCTCGTGTGATCTCAGCTGGACCTTCTTCTGAGGGACTGTGACCTAAAACCATATTATTACAAAACAAACTGAATTCATGAAAACATAAAAACCAAGCATAATACTTCCCAAATGGCTATATATAATATCAAAATCAGGTTGATGTGTGTTGTTTTGAACCTTGTGTGGAGGCTCGCGATGGAAATACGTGATCTCGCCTGGATCTGGACCCACCAGCGCTAGAAGATGCTGGATCTTTTTCCGGTCCTCCAGCTCTCTGTGACGATAAAAAGCACTTCAGCTTCAGATATCATGTCTGTGCTCTGGTCTCTGTGATGACGGGACATCTGACCTGATTTTGAGGCGGTCGTTCTCGGCGTACAGTCGCAGCGCCTGCTCTCGCTCCTGGAACAGATACACCTGCATGTCACTGAGAGCGTTCTGGAGCTCTGCGATCTCCTCCTCGCGCTGACGCACCTCCCACTGCAACTGATGCTGCACAAACACACACACAAAACAATAATACAACAACCACGAACAAATGCTAGAACAGAGCAGGAACATCATCCAGGTGACAGTGACAGGAGGTCACCTGCCGATCTCCTCCTCGCGCTGACGCACCTCCCACTGCAACTGATGCTGCACAAACACACACACAAAACAATAATACAACAACCACGAACAAATGCTAGAACAGAGCAGGAACATCATCCAGGTGACAGTGACAGGCGGTCACCTGCTCCTCCGCGGTGCTCCTGCACTTCTCCAGCATCTGCAGCAGGTCATCATGTTCTCCATCAAACTGCGCCACCTTCTGCCTGTAGAAGTCCAGCAGCTCGCGGGATGGCCGCAGATACGCCAGACGCTCAGAGACGGAGGGCAGCGGAGACTCACGCTGCAGGCTGAGCTCAGGACTGACCCGAACAGAGAAAAAGAGGATGAGACGCTTAAAAGAGTGGCATTTGGGATTTCAGATAATGTTATCTGAAATTATATCTGTAGATAGATAGATAGATAGATAGTCAGATGATAGATAAAATAGATAGATAGATAGATAGTCAGATGATAGATAGATAGATAGATAGATAGACATACATACATACATATATATATATTTACCTTTTACGTTCCTTTGTAGGAGAAGAATCCATCATCACAGTGTATGGCCTAAATGTTTTATTATTAAAAAAAAAAAAGGACTTTAATGTGATGCACTCAAACTACATTAAAAAGCATAATAATAAAATAAATAAATGAAAATTACATTATTTTACACATCAATTTTTAAGGTGATTTTATCTCATAATAATCTGTAGGCGATCAAACTTTAATCTAAAATTAAGGTAAATTAAAGACAACACGCAATATATCAATATTCATAAGAACAGCCCAAACTAAAGCTCTTTTGTTGACATACAGGTGTGTTCAGTCTGACACGCTTCTGGGTGGCATGTAAACAGTGACGCTTTGCGTGGGACATTTGAACGAACACAGCGTTATACATATACAGGTTTATTTAGACTGTTTAACGATAGAATTAACTGCTTAAATTATCACTTTAGTCACTTTATGTATTCATCAACCTGTCAGATGTGCAATAAATAGTTAATGTTGCACAATAAAACCAAAATATCATAAATAGCGGTCGTTAATGATTTAACTAACCAGCTACATCTGCCATTTCCAATATTTACCGCACGCTCACACGATTATATCACTGTTATAATAATATTCTCGTGGTAAGCCAAATGTTTATGTAATAGTTACCTTCTGCATGCGTGTGTATGCTCGACGCTCGCTTTTAAAACACGCCGGTTACAAACCGGAAGTCTCAGTGTTTAATCGAGCGCGTTCTGTCTGCGTGCGCAACAGCGACGCAGCCTGGCGTCAGACTCCAGCAGCAGACGCCTGTCAGTTCTACACTATTTCCTGCTGACACACACACACACAAACACTGCACGGGGATTGATTTAGATAAGAGCCATACACGGATCTCCTACGTGCCCTTTAGAGCTAGAAAAACATGTTTGACAGCTGCTGCTAGCATGTGAGCTAATGCTTAGCAGCGCAGGAGGAGTCATGCTCAGGTCAAAGTAGTAGCACTGTCTTGCTTCTTCATTTATTTCGAAGAAAAACATGGCAGAGATCTTTTCCCGCTTGAATATGTTTAGAATCGGGTGGAGAGGCGTGAAATTGAGCAGGAAAGTCACTAATGCAGCTGTTTCTGCGCAGACGCAGCGCCGCTACAGCACAGTGAGTTCACGCTCATTATTATTATTATCGTTCATAATTTAATCCTCAGTAATTATAATGAGTCAACAAACACCCCAAACCACAGCAAGACGAGTAGTGTTACGTGCTCTTAGGCTTGTGTTGTTTTCATGAGTTTCGGGTCAGTTTCTGGCTGTGTTTCAAAACGTTATGTGCTGCCTATCTAGACAGCATTTTCGGTCCAAAAATGCACATATTATATTGTAATCATGTGTATATACAGTTGTATATTATTATAATTATAATATGATATTATAATTATTTCTAAGGATGTTTATATAATATGATATAAAATATTATATATATATATGGATATTTATATACATTTGTATATGCAAAATAAAAAATCCTTTTATGTGTGTGTATTTATATATACCTAATAAATATACACAGTACACACTTATAGTATGTAAACATAAACTTTTATTTTTGAATCGATTAATCGCGATTAATCGTTTTGCAGCCCTAGTCACGAAATCAGTCCCCATTATAATTCCTGTCCACACAGGAAGTGTCCATGGTGTCTTCGGATTTTGTATTTTTGTTTGTTGTGTTTTGATTTTTTACATGCTTTTAAGCTATTTTTGAGCCATTTTATTTTTCCTGTTCATCTGAAATGATTTTACTTACAAATATCATATATGTTAATTAACTGCATTGAATTTTATTAGTTAAATACTCAAGCGTGTAAAATTTAAATCATGTTTTGCATTTGAAAACCTGTTTCCAGAGTAAAACATAAACAATGTAATTGTAAAGGTGTGGTCATATTTGCGAAATTTGTCAATAGTGTAGCAATGTATAAAGCATAGCTCACAACAGCTAAAAATAGACTTTTACATAACTGCACAAGCATACAATTCACTGAGGCCCATTTCTGCTTAGAGTAAAACAAGGGCAACTTTGTATCTTCCAATTCACCCGACTTTATATCTTACAATACAACATTTCTTATTTCTTACACTTTTTCTTAAGGTGATGTCTCATTTAATCCCATATTGCAAAAAAAAAAATTTTTTTTTGTGGCTGAAATATATGCTAAATATATGTTGCAAACAGTGAAGCTCAATGAAATATATTTTTGAAATAGAAAATATATTTAGTTTCAGACTTCATATACCAAAATGTATTTATAAATGTATTTCAGGGGCAAGAAAATACATTTCCAATCTTACAGTAGTCTACATTTAAGCTAAATACAAATGTCCTATTAGAGATCAAAAGGTAGATTTATAATGATTTAATAAGGTTTAATATTTTTATATATTGCAATATTGCATTTTTTGGAGCATTTTAAATTGTTCCTTGCTCAAGTTTATTCAAATGTGTTATATGTTCGCACGTGTTATAGATAATTTAAGTTTTGTTTTAAATGTGACACATGTGAATAGTTTATTCAAATGTGTTATATGTTCGCACGTGTTATAGATAATTTAAGTTTTGTTTTAAATGTGACACGTGAATACATTTTCTTGGACTGAAATATATAGAGGTCAAAAAATATTTTTAAACGTTTTTTAAATTGAATTTATACATTTAAAATATATTTTCAAAAATATACAAAATGGCCAAAAATATATCGGTAGAAAATATATTTACATAAATATATTTTGAAACATATTTCAGTAAATATATATTTTAGCCATTTTTTTTGTATGTTTTGAAATATATTTGAAAATATATTTTTTGTGCTGTCGGAAATGTTATAAACCAAACAGCTTTCTGTTGTCAAGTGCAGCAAATCTGTGTGACCAACTTGACCTTGTTGCAAAATCTGTATGAGGAACTCTTTAGACCTCATTTGAAAATCCTTATCATGTATATTCATACAGAAATGACTGGATTTCGCCAACACAAAAATTTTCACGACACCTTAAGAAAAATTTTAAGAAATAAAGATGCATTGTGAAGTTGCAATTACAAGCAACAGCAATTAGAAGAAAAAAGTCTCAATTAATTTTTTTACGCTAAAGCAGAAACAGGCTTCAATTAATTGTATTTTTATGCAGTTACATAAAGTACATTTTTATGCTAATGGAGTTTTATTAAAAATATGCCAAACTTTCGATACAGTGTTTTTCATCCACTTTACTGTTACTGCAGTCTGCTGTTGACCTGCTTCGTGTTTGTTGCGATGATTCGCTTTGACACTTCCAGTCTTTGCCCTGTCGGTTAATAGTGTTACGCCTTGTCCCAAATCATGCCTTCGCGCTCAATCTTTTCTAAGCAGTGACCCTTCTTCTGCAAAAACTCTTGTGAGATTTGAAATGTAGCAGTTAACGTACGAATGAGTTTCGCAGAATCAATGACGTTTACGTTCTAGACAAGCCGAAATCAAGTGCACCATTTGGGACCTCAAGTGGCTTATGGGTAAATTGTTATGAGCTCAAACAGAGCATTGAAAGAGATATTTTCACAAGCACAAGGTTAAACGTTTGCAGCAAGGAAAGACGTTCATCCATGAAGCCATATTAGTTAATGAAGAAACAACACGATGCCATTGACAAGAGGAAGTTCATTTTTTTTCTCCAATAGGTGGAAATGTGTGTGTTCTCTCTAATATATTTGCCATTAAAGTTCACATACGCCTCAGTTAGTTTGTGTAAATGTGAACACTTTGGTTTGCTGTATAACACGGTACCTCTTAAGCGCCATTCACACAGTTCGTATACTTGCGTTTTGTTTGCGCTGTTTTGTAATTGTCTTATGTACACAAGTCGGTGTTTTGGGCATCATGTCGTACTGTATTTTCAGACGTAATTCAAGGTAAAAAATAGTTCAACTTTTACAATTTTACAATTACAATTTGCAGTTGCTCTGTCTAGCTTTTTTTTTACGCATTCTGCGTGAACTGACTGATAGGACAACGCTGTCAGTGAGCAGCAACAAGCCGCGTGATTATTTTTGGTTTGTTTAAAAATTGAACACACAAAATCCTCAATTCATATCTAGTCCTTTAAATATATTAAGTGTTACGAAAGAACGAAGAATGCATTTGTTGACTTTGTAACGTTTTATGCATTTTATTGTACTGTACACAACCTACTGCAGAATAAATGTCCCACAAGAGGTAATCCGTAATATTGTACTTGTATACTTCATTCGTATGTGTATGTTGTATGTTCATTATAGTTAATTAATTAAATGCATTTTACATTTTCTGAGAGGTCTGATTTGTTTTTACACCACATCCACAATATTTAGCGCACCATATTTGTGTTTGCGCTCAGCAAAGCGTCAAAGGTTTCTAATTACAACGTGTTTTTGCAGCATTGAGCAGTTTAGCCAATCACAGACATGTATGTTGATTTCTGGAACGCAGTGGCCAATCAGGCGTTGGAATCCACTCAACGCTTAAAGGGTTAGTTCACCCAAAAATAAAAATTAGGCTGTGTTTTACTCACCCCCGATGCATCCTAGGTGTATATGACTTTCTTCTTTCAGACGAATCCAGTCGGAGTTATATTAAAAATTGTCTTTGATCTTTCAAGCTCAACGATAGAGCTTGAAAGATCAAAGACAATTTTTAATATAACTCCGACTGGATTCATCTGAAAGAAGAAAGTCATATACACCTAGGATGCATCGGGGGTGAGTAAAACACAGCCTAATTTTTTATTTTTGGGTGAACTAACCCTTTAAAACAGGAGTTTTGAATTTGCTAAGTGTGTAATTCCTCTCAACGAATCCTCTCATCATATAAACAAAGTGTAGACACTGTGTAAATGAAAGATTTCTTAATTATAACGAAAATTTGTGAGATCGTGATAAACCGAAATAAATGACAGCTTTTTAGTTATTATAGTGTGCAATATGCAAGATTTCCTATTTATTAGCCGCTATGGATAAATAACTACAGGAATAACAAAGTGTGGTAAACAGTAAAGCTGTTTGAGCAACAAAACAGTATGTTTATGATTGTGATTATAAATTAAAATTTTTGTACAGGTAAAATAACTTGAAGCGAATTACACCGGAAGCCTCGCACATTCCTGCGTTAATAATAAAGTGGAAAGTAGTTCACCAATATTTGCACCTGGACACTGATTTTTAACAATGAAAATTTAGAAAACTGCCGCTTGTCAGTCAGCAGTCACATGACCTCTTCTCCAGTTGTTCTCCTTCATCAATTGGATGAGAGTCTGAGTGCAGGAAAACAGTCTGTGAATCTGATTGGCTGTCCTGATGCACTATTCCTCCGTGTCGCACTATGAGTTCCCGTGCCATCAGTTCGAACGCTTCCTCGATGTTGTGATGCTGTTTGGCAGAGGTCTCGAGCGCCGCCAGCGCACCCGTCCGCTCCGCTAGCGTGCACGCGTCCTCAAACAGCACCTGCCGCTGCGCCTCCTGGTCACACTTATTACCTGCACGACGGAAAATATATCACGAATATCGAGTTTGTTTGCTGCTATTTATTATGTATATATAAATACACACACATGCATGTATGTATTCAAGAAAAATGTTATATTTGTATATTAAATTTATTTATATATATATATAAGTACTAGAATATTATACATTTTCTGAATTAAATCTCGGGTGTACTCATTTCTGCAATCCTTCATTTATACAAAATTGGCTAATTTACTTATCTTACAGAAAATATTGGCATATATTTTGTTGTTTTTATTAAGTATATGTTTCAATTTTGCCATCATTCCATGAATTATATTAATTATATTAGTGATCATTAAGAAAATACATCTTTTATATTTATTCAGAGGGGGTGTACTCATTTATGCTGTGCACTGTATATAGTATATATACACTATAAAAATACAATAAAACGTTTAACATTTATTATTATTATTATGCAATTGGAAGTCAAAAAGTCAAATGTATAAAAGGTGAAATAAATATTTTTTTAAATAAATTATATATTCTTTATTACATATAATTAATATGATTAATTATGTACATATGTTTCTCTTATAAAAATTTAAATTGAATTTAATCGAAATATAATTTTTTTATTTTATTTAATAATAGAATTTATGGACTTCATTAATTTATTAATATGTTAACTCTTTTTGGAAGAAAATTAAATACTGAAGATGAAACACTAAAAGTATTTATTTATATATTATATATGTATATATTTTTATAATAATAATAATAATAATTTTACCTGCATATCATGTGACCATTAACCAAAATTAGACAACTGTGCACATGTGAATGTCTTAAATGATTGAATTTTCTTTTAAAACCTTAGGGGTAGTTCAAGTAAATATTTTGTGTCAAAGGGGTTCAGCTGGCTGACAAAAAAGTCTGGGACTCTCAGCTCTGACCTATCAGAACGAAGACGACGTTGGCGGCTCCGTACTGCTCCACACCCTGTATCCAGTGCGGCAGAGACTCAAAGGTGGGCCGTCGGGTCAGATCGTACGCGATCATGGCGCCGTGAGCGCTGCGGTAGTAACTCTGTGTGATGGTGCGGAAACGCTCCTGTCCCGCCGTGTCCCAGACCTGCATCTGATCTCAAGAACAGCACACAGATCCACACAGACACCATCACAAATACATCTCTTTAACATCTCAGGTGTCTCTTCTAGACCGCAGTGAGACTCAGTGGAGGCCCCTGAGAAAAAGACCCCAGTAATCTCACATGGCTACTGAAGAGATCTCAACACTGTCTCAAACTGCGCTCGCATTTGCCAAGATACATTTGTCAAAAGGTCTGCAGTCAAAGGTCAAATGTCAATATGAAATCAAACATTTCACATCAAATTCATCCAAGAATGGATGGAAATGATCTGAACTGCTATTGTATAGTTCTATATTGACTCTAATTCTTATTTGATTTCTTTAATTCTTCTGTTTGTATGACTCTGTTTTAGAGAAAAATATCTGTACGTGTTTAATAATAATATATACTTATTATTAATACTATTATTATCAATAAATAAAATGCATTATTTTATGTATTGATTTAATTACACACACAATATATTTGTATTATTCTATTTTGATAGAAAAATATCTGTATATGTTAAATAAAAATATATACTTATTAATACTATTATCAATTTGTATTATTTTGTGTATTGATTTAATTATACACACACACACACACACACACACACAATATATATATTTTTATATAATTGTATCGATATATTTACCCTATACAAATATAATAATAATGCATTATATGTATTCATTTAATTGTTTATTTATTTTTATTCTTTATAATACAATAAAGAAATATTGCTTGAAGAAAATTGAAAATAAAATCCCTATGAAAATAAAATAAACTTTTTAATACATGAAATTAATACATACACATAATACATAAAATAATATATAATGTTATGTATTCATTTACTAGTTCATTTCCTTTATTTCTTCATAATAATAAATATCTTAACTTTATATATATATATATACACTACCGTTCACAAGTTTGGGATCAGTAAGATTTTTAATATTTTTTACTGAAGAAAAATCATAAATCAGAGTGCTCACCTTCACTCTCATCCCATCGATGTCTATCGTGCGAACGGTGAAGTCCACTCCAATAGTGTTGTGCTGGCTGTCACTGAAGAGCCCAGACGTGAAGCTGTGGATCACGCAGGTCTTTCCCACATTACTGTCACCAGTCAGGATGATCTTGAACAGAAAGTCACAGCGGTCTTCATCCTCCTGCCCTGCGGACTGCATTTCTGCAATAAATACTCACAGATCGTGACCCACAGACCCCGAAATGATTCATTCAGGGTGCAAAAGTCACAGCTCCAGTGCTATTTTCACCATATCTGCAATCAGTTCTCTGAAGACAGGCCTTCTCTGTAAGCTAGCACTAAAAATCACATATTAAGAAATCCCCATACTGCCCAAACAAAGTGAGTTGACCTCGTCACACAGCATTAACTCAACATTGACTCATTTTTTTCTGCCATGTCCTTTGTTTTCTGTGAAACACTGAGTCAAATGCAAACAGACACACCCCTGTCTACCTGCGTCTACATATTAAGAAATCCCCATACTGCCCAAACAAAGTGAGTTGACCTCGTCACACAGCATTAACTCAACATTGACTCATTTTTTTCTGCCATGTCCTTTGTTTTCTGTGAAACACTGAGTCAAATGCAAACAGACACACCCCTGTCTACCTGCGTCTGGAGGCGAGACGTCCAGTCGCCTGCCCACCTGCACCACTGCATCTCTGGGAATTGCAGTTTGTTTGTAGATATTGCAATCTATTGGAAAAGAAAATGTGCATATTTAAAGTTTTACATATGAGAAAGCCTGTTACTTCTCTTCTAAACCATCTAAACATGATTCTCAAGTAAAAAAAAAAAAAGATATGTGTGTAATATGCAAACCATCAATTTTGCTGTATTACCAGCAAAAATATTTATTGTGAATACATGTAAAATCATTAACATTATGCTGCGGTTCCAAAATACTGCCTCAACATTCATTCAGTCATTAGCATGTAGCTAAGAATAAATAATAGCCTACACATTAGTTAGAAACACTGGATAAAACAGCCATTATAAATTAAACTGAATGTATTGATCCTTTTCAGGACTGAAATAAATGTTTATTTAGAATTAACTTGTTGCTTGCCTTGTCCACCACTCGATTGCTTTTTATTTTTCTTTCTTTCTTTATTTATTACTGCACATCCTCAGATTGCGCTCAGTGTTAACCTAAAAAAATGATTCACAAAAAAAAAAAAAAAAAAAGATATGAACACATATGCATCTTAGAAAGCGCTAGACTACAAATCAAACACAAAGCAGCGCCGCTGTCTTGAAAGGTGACCTTTGCTCAGCAGAACAGGATATAAACACATAACTCACTCCGCCGTACGCCGTCTTGCTCTATTGCACACAATCACGGGTCACATTTGACTGTCGTAACAAATGAGACAAACTCCAGATCCGTCTGTCAGTCAGTCTTATAAACTACAGAAAGAATAGGCAGTGGCACTTACAGTATGTCTGCTCCAGTAAAGTGTGTTTTTGAGAACGTGAAGGGCTGAAATCTACAGTAATGCGTGTAAACTGTGAATGCACACCCACACACACTCACACTCACGTCATTAGCTGAAGTGAACACGAGGCACAGCTGCTCGACAGACAATGCACACATCTGTGTGAGGGGTGCGCTTGGCTCTCAGCCCGGTCCAGAGGTCAGAGGTCTTTGTGTCTGGTCACAAGTTTGACTCGGGGAAATGCAGATAAGCCAGTTAATGACTCCTCCTGTTTGACTCAGAAAAAGTCTTTTGTTAAACTACACCATGGCAGTCTACCATGAGTACAAACACTGGTTGTTTTGAAAATTATGCAAAATTATATCGAAATGTAAACGTGTAACTGGACTATTATAATTTTCAGATTTTTTTTTTTAAGAAAATGTGAGTATTTGACCATACAAAAAAAAAAAAAGAATGTTGCTATATGGATGCAAAGGGGTTTTTGGTATTTTTCTATACTAAAAATCAACATTTTAGCAAAACGTGCATTTAAAATAATTAGTTTATTTTTTATTATTTCCACAAATTTAAAATATTTAGTCATATTTTTGTTTTCAAAACTTTTCAAATATTTTATATTTTAAAAGATTTTAAATATTTATTGATTTGTCCATTTAAAACTGTTTTTTCATTCATTTGTCCATTTAAAAAAAATGTATTCTTAATTTTTTAAGTAGATCTCCTACTCCACAATTGGCGGTCTTACAGTGTAACAAATTATAGTTTTTTGGTATTTTTCTATACTAAAAATCAACATTTTAGTAAAACGTGCATTTAAAATAATTTATTTTTTATTATTTCCACAAATTTAAAATATTTAGTCATATTTTTGTTTTAAAAACTTTTCAAATATTTTATATTTTAAAAGATTTTAAATATTTATTGATTTGTCAATTTGCAGTGTAACAAAATTTTTTTTTTTAGTATAAATATTCTATATAGTCACTTAAAAAATTGAGGTAATAAAAATGCTATGTATATGTAATTTAAAATTGATGTAGATAAGTTAATCCTTTATCAAGGATGCATTCAATTTATCAAAATTGACAGTAGAGACATTTATACTGTTACAAAGATTTTGACTTCTCTTTTGAACTTTCAATTCATCAAAAAATCCTGAAAAAAATGCATCACACTTTCCACAAAAATATTATGCAAAAAAAACTGTTTTTAACATTGATTAAAATTAGAAATGTTCTCTTTCAAACATTCGCTCTGTATCTCACTATGGGAAACGCCTCAGGCGTGACCAACCCTGGAAGCACCAATTACACCACGTCTGTCAGCTGACAGACCAATCACGACAGTGATGCGGGGAATCCCACCTCCCCTATATATATATATATATATATCGC